ATTTCAAGGTTCTACAAGAAAGACGATGGTACTTTCACAGTCGATAAAGTCATCGACGTTGAACAACTGAAAGTTGCAGGAGGAGATTGGCCCATGGAATACATGCAAGGTATATATTAAAAAAATAATACTTAGACTTTTCTAAATGTATTATTGAAACTTAACTAAATTGTTTTAAGGCTTCATCAGTGATATCCTCTTGTCGTTGGACGACAAGTACCTCTACTTGAACAATTGGCTTCAAGGAGACATCCGCCAATACGACATTACAGACCGCGCCAATCCAAGATTAACCGGTAAATACTTGAAACCCGTCCAGATTATAACATAACGATGAAACTGACCGTTAAATTTTCGTTTAGGTCAAGTGTATCTGGGTGGTCTATTGCAATCCGATTCGCCAATCAAAGTTATTGATAACGATAGCTACGTGCCACCTGAACCTGTCATCATCAAAGGAAAGCGTTTGCATGGAGGACCGCAGATGCTGCAGCTTTCCCTCAACGGAAAACGTCTGTACGTGAGCAACAGCTTGTTTTCCCCTTGGGATAAACAATTTTACCCGGATGGCGTGCGCGAAGGAGGCTGGATCGTAAAGGTCGACATTGATCACGAAAACGGCGGAATGACGCTTGACAGGAATTTCATTGTGGACTTTGGAAAGACCAAGCATGGACCAATCCTTGCCCACGAAATGAGATACCCAGGAGGTGATTGCACTTCTGACATCTGGCTAGCCAAATAATTACCACTAAATTGTTTTCCTTTGAAACAAATTGTATGTGCTCACATCACATTTGTTTCTATTGGATTTTCAAGTTACCAAACCAATCGCAAAGGATATTCTCTAGGATTCACTCTATATTTAAACAAATTATTATATTATTCTTTTTATGTATACTTAAAAATGATAAAATAAATATTATATTTTCATGAAATAAACAATTATTAATTTACCTTTGAGTTTGATAAATTATACATATTTATAAATTAATATCATAATCAGGGCCGGCCTATGATAGTTGGGCTGTTAAGAATAATGCGCCCATCTTCATAAGTATAATTATGTAATTATTTTTATGGCAGGTCATATATATTTCATTAAAATAAATAAAAATAATAATTTTGGGCTTAAATAGATTTCTATGAAACATTATTACATTTAGTTTGTAAGCAATTCTTTGAATAATTGTCCAATTTGAAAACGAAAAAAATTGTATCTAAAACTATATAAACTGATTTTCTATTATCATTTTTAAAATATATTTTTTTTAAATTTGATTAAAAAATATTTGAAATTATTGAACACCTGCGTGAACATTTGCAATAATAAACATCTGTGTTTAATTGAACACCTACAAAATACCGGTGTTTCAATTAAACACCTGCACATGATTAACCAGTACAAACCACATCAAACGCTGAATTACATCAAAAAAGCTATTATGCTATCAATTTGGTGTTGTGCATTTTGAGCTGAATCCAAGGGACCAAACGATCAATTCAGTTGTTTACTGTCAACGACTAATGAAATTGGAGAAAGCAATCAAAGAAAATGGGCAAATATTGGAAAGTGATGTCATATCCAAGAACATGTACTATCAGATTACCAAACGTACTTTCTTGTCAACGCAATATATTAACAATACAAAAAAAATATGATTTGATATTGATAATATTTTTATTAAATACGCATTGGCAATGAAACATTTTTGATACACACAAAATTGTGTATTGACAATTTTTTATTCTGCGCGTTTTTATAATTGTTTATTTTTTATGTTTAGTAATCTAGTATCTATGCATGGTTTTAACCCACTGATACTTCTGTGAGACACCAGTGGGTACACGCCAACTATGACTATTTTTTTACTATTAATAAAATTAAATTTTAAAAAATGTATTTATTTTCTATCTATTCTTTTGTTTTCTTAATAATGTTAGTTCATAAAGTGAATGAATTACAAAGATTCAAATTTTGAGAAAAACTAGAAAAATAATAATAATATTTATTAGTCCAAAGACTTTCCGCCCTAGTCAAATCAGACTTGAATGGGTTAAGATTACATTGAATAAAAAATACATGTGTACAATAAACTTTGAAATCTCATTTCAATTATTAATAAAAAGGTACATATCTCGTGCGCATGTACATTTTTATATATTGATTAATGAACTACAATAAACAAACATAATTAAACAAAAATCATGCATGCAATAGATATAATGCATTTCTCGAATAAGTATAAATACATAAATTCGCGAAGCATTAAACCATCAGTTACTCCGCTCTCAGCTTTCGTGCTTTGAACGTGGTTCTCCAGTGAAATACAAACACATCACTTCACCATTTGCTTGATTAACT